CAGTGTTAATTGAAATTCCTGCGGGACCTCATGTACTGCATACTTTTATACTGAGTCTGGGTTCAGATGAAACCAGGGCCAGTGTTGTTCCCTGCACCTACTGTAGACATGGATTTAAAGAATGCAATTGTTATATAAACATACCTATTTATTTATATATTTCTATTTGTATAAATATCAACACAGTGAAATATTGCAATATTACACAGACAAATATAGATCCCTGTTCTTAGTTTTTTGTTTTTTCAGTTGATTTTACAGTCAAACATGCTCCCTTCAACTGATTAAACAAAGTTTGTGTACACATGATTATAGCACCCAGAACCATGACCCCTGTGAAAGACTGAAACCTGCTCATTTTGAAATCTGTTGATGTTTTTTTTACGTAAAAACATAAGCTGTATTTAAAAAATGGAGTGCAGTTCCCAGCACTGACCTGTAGGAGCAGCGTAAAAAAAATTTCCCTCATCACTCCTGATGACAGGTTGCATAATCCCTGAGATGTAATAAAAACGGAAGCCAACATGTCAGATTTAATATGTAAATATGACGACTGCTGCTGCTGCTGTTATTGAGTTGGCAGACTGAAATGAAACACCGACGGAACCAAACCGTGAAATCATCAGAGTAACGGCCTCGGAATATTGAAAGACACTTTGAATGGAATTGAATTTTATGCAGAAAAACACAGCACTTTATGATTGTTATATAGTGAGACAACGATGCACCTAAAGGTCAGTGTTCTGTGCAAAGACATTAGGTGCTTGACAGTGGCAGTATGTTACCATAGCAACTGGGCTGTAGATCTAATTATGACGGAATACGGAGCTGATGTCTGAAAAAGTCTGAGCGCGATGACACATCTGTGTCTTCGCTCCAGTCGTGTTGGTGGGAATCACTTAAATGAGACAGCATCAACATCAAGAACGCTCATTATTCCCACTGCACTGAAACATCTCATCTCCAAACTGCAGTGAATCAAACATCTAAACACTTTATCACAGCCTGCATGTCCCCGCCTGCTGACGAACGCAGGAGCTCTGAATCACACAGCTGTAAACGCACGTGATCCTGTGGTTATAATGCGCTCTGCCAGGTCCTGTTTACATGTCGTCGTCGTCGTCGTCGTCTACAGACCCGCCACTGGTCACACAACAGTCGCCGCTGTACTGTAACAACAACCGTCCGAGGCGCTGATGTGCTCTCTGCTGTTCATCTCTGCGGTGAACGAGGCGCAGAGTCCGAGGTCACAGATCAAATCTAAAAACGCTGCTGGCACAGTAACAAGGTTTCTGTTGAATTTTACTGTTCTGCTCCATGTCTGCCTGCGTCTCTGCCCTCAAACTGAATCGAGCGTTCGAGGCCGAGCAGTTCTGTTTCTCCAGCTCCGTGAATGAGCTCAGATAAAACAGGAAGTTCACGTCTCTGCAGAAAGGATGAATGGAGCTGATGTTTCACCTGGTTTGGTAACGTCTGCCCGTCAGTGATACACGGCCGTGCCTTTATCACTGCGTGTGTGTGTGTGTGTGTGTGTGTGTTACTGCTTTTCTTCCTCCATCTACTATAATGAAAGTCAATCTTGTGAGGAAAAAGATAAAGAAAATGTGTTTGTGAACAGTGGAGGAGAGTGTGTGTGTGTCTCTGTGTGTGTGTGTGTGTGTGTGTGTGTGAGAGAGAGAGAGAGCGAGCAAGACCATGAAATTTTCACTTGCCCCATACAGAGTTGTGGCAACTGGTGAGTCCTGGCAGAACGAGGACAAACCACTCTCCAGGGAAGCAAGGAAGGAAGGATGAAAGGATGAAAGGATGAAAAGACCCCCCGAAGTGGAAGGACAGAGTGAAGGAAGGAAATAATTCCTTCAGAAAATCAGAATTAAAATGAAGGAAGAATGGAGAAGAAGAAGGGATTATGGCGAAAAGATAGGAAAGAAACGACAGAGTGAGAAATAAACAAAAACAGAAATGAAGTGAGCAAAGAAGACACAGGAAGATGGAAGTAAACGGCTCAGATCTCACATAAAAAATAAATGATGTGGTTCGAGGCTGTCGTTACAGAGGGAAGCCCTGTGTATCTGTGTCTACGGATCTACGTTACAGCTACGACATCAGGAAACTGCTTCCTGTCACCCTGTGATCTGGAAAACAGTGTGAAGAGTTCTTCAAATTCGTGAGATGAGTGACAATAATGCATGACCCAAACGTCCACGGTCATCAGTGAGTGTCCCCGACATCAACACAGCCAACAAACGAGTGTCACATGATCTACGGCCATGTTTAACATCCGTGTCTTTGTCAGTTTGTCTAATATGTTTACTCTTGGATTACCCCCCCCCCCCCCCCCCCCCCCCCCCTCCCCCACCCCCCATGTTTTACCCCTGGGTCCAGACTAGTCCACTTTCTGCCCCAGAAGTAAGTCTAATGAAGGCTGTGGACAACCAAGTCTGGATAAGTACTCATTAGTCCGACTGACCGGAGAAACCTCTGCGTATATTTGACGTGGTATGTGGTGCCAAAGTGTGGGACGACCATTTGAATAGTATAGATCTGCCACAGAGTGCAGTATTGATTTTTAAATGTATTTCTGTGTACTCTGGTCATTAGAGCCGACAGCCTGTTAAATTAAAGCCATAAGTGCTGCGCACGTGTCCGGTTTGTGCAACGGCGTTTGTGTTTCCACGCTGTGGAACGCAGCGCAGCAGGAGAACGTTGAGCTGAGTGAAGTGAACGATGAGGTGAGAAGCTCCACAGGTTCATGTCATTACTCAGTTCTCCAGTTGGTTACAGTGCTGAGGTTAACGAGATCCAACAAAGAGGATCAGTGACGAGTCGTGAGAGCTGAGCCGCAGAGTCCAGTACTGTACGGCAACTCGCCAGCAGTTCACTACAGTAGTACTGTAGTACTGAATATACACTGACCAAATGGCCGGGGCAGATTTGCAAGGAAGTTTTAAACACTGTAAATGTTATGAGTGTAAACGCATGACTTTC